GTCGCCATGATTCTCCCGCTCCAGACAGACGCAGGTTAAGATCCTCCCTGGTAAGCCAGCTTGTGGGCTACACAGAATATTAGAAATGGGTTAGAACAGTATGTAAGAGCTAGCCAATAAGAAGCTGGACCTAGCCGGGCCAGGCAGTGTTTGAAAGAATACAGTTTCCGTGTAATTATTTCGGGGCATAAGCTAGCCATGTGGGCGGCCGGGTGCCAGGGACGCAGCCCTGCCACCGCTCCTAATTCAACATTTTTGAATAAAACTGAGAACTAAAAAGGATGAGAAAAGGAATTTTGTAAACTCCAGAATGAGGCTCTAATGTCCCTAACACAAAAACTCTTGCAGGCCATCGGGGGAGAACCCTGCAGAAGGCCACCAGAGCTAGGTCCAACCTTTGGTAAACCCGACAGGGTAGCTCCCTTGGTTGTTATTGTTGCACTCAGTAAAGAAGTGTGTCTAAGGCTGTCCCAGGAACAGAGAAATGGCATTAGTTGCTGATAGCAAGGAGGAAAGAACACATGGCAGATTGACAAGCTCAGAATACACATTTAAAAAGACAGTGAAGAAAAAATAAATTTTTGAATTATTGCACCCAGGGTTTGGCTGTGTATATAATGATGTAACTGAGCTACTGGGACAAGGAGTCTGGGTGAAATGTTTCTTCTGGGATGAAGGAGAAATATTCTAGAAAAAAAATGTTTTTAGAAAGATTTCTTTTAAAACATTTCAATCAGAACTAGTTTAAGAAAAAGTGAAGAAATTCTGTCACTCAGCCTTTTAAGGGGAACATATCTGTATGTTGCTAGGGTAGCATTCATCCATTGACCCTTTGGCCTCAGCTTCTTGTGCCTCCATACCCAGAAAAGCAAATGTTATGGTTCTTAAAGAGAACTCAAGAGCTAGGTGAATATCATGTACCATGCAGTGAGTATAAAGATATTTGCAGTGTGTGGCACTAAGTTTGATGTGATGACTCTTTTCTTCCTTTTTAAAATGGGATCCTCATATTTACTCAAAACACGCTTAATGTAGGTTGAATTAGTTAAATGAGATAAAAAGTAAATAGATACATTCTATATTTGTCATGTGGTTCATATGCACATATATTTCAGGGCTGAACAGAAGTCATAAGTAGTACGTGCTGTCTCTGAGAATCTGCTTTATGTCAGCACCTGGCTTCTCATTCAGGGAGATTCAGTTTGGAATCCCAGACTTTAGCTTCAGAATGGAAGTTTAGTTTATACTTCTTAATCAGCAGTGTGTACATTTCCAGATTTCACTAGCTCATCACTGTGCTTTATTTGTGACTTTTTTTTTTTTCTTTCCTGGGCTCTGAAAGTTTCTCTTGGCCCTAAGTAAGCTAGTTAATGGGACTCTTATTGATTGTCATAAAAGTAGCTGAGCTACTGACTTAAAGATGATGGGGATTTGCGTTCCCTGGAATGAACCCTTCATTTTATTTTGACTTTAAAGATTTTCTTCTACAAACATTAAACTCCCTTGATGACTTTGCTAACTGTAGTTTTTGGTGTAGTAACGACAATCAATGAGGTAAGGATTTACTGGTATCTCTAGAGACACTCAAGCCCCAAGCTCCATCAGCCTATGAAGACTGACATTTTCTTTGGAGAAATCACCTCGTCTAAGCACAGACTTCACTTCCATTCACTGATGGTAGAGATCCAGAATCATTAGCTAAACTAATTGTGTCGTGTACTTGGTGTTTAGAATGCTGGACACTGTAATGTAATTACCGAGTTGGATGTACTTTAAATATATTCTCACCAAACATTATGCATGGCATTCTTTATGAATACTCGGCCAAAAGCATATGCCGTTGAACTGCCATCCTATCAAAACACACCATCTAGAACAGCTTAAAAATTCTTTTTACATGTTGTTTTGAACCACCTCACAATCTATAACAAGGCTGAAGGCAATGTCTCCTGTAGTCCTTGGCCATGTTTCATATTTTTAGAGAGAGGAGAATGAGAATTTTAAGTGCTTCTTCCCATAGGTTTTGAATGTCCTGGAAGGATGGATAGGATGTACTCATGTCTCATGTCTAGGAATCCTGCCTTACACAGGAACTGAATATTCACATCCTGTGGTGCATGTGTGGGGACTTCAAGATCACATGAGGGGCGAGAAATGCCAAGAACTTAAAGCAGATTACAGTAGCAACACTCCATTCCCATCTAATCCCACCCCTGTAGTCATAAAGAATGTGGTTCCAGTCAAGCCAGGTGCTGTGATATACAAAATTTAATATGTGAAATATTACCGAAAATAATCACATAGTTAGGTTGATAACTAGTATTCAAGTTAATGACTTATATAAAACACATCTGTGGGCTACCAAGGAGGCACATCTCTGTTAGAAGCTAATTCTCTACCTATTATGCTTATCAAATATGAAGGATATTTAAGCAATGTCTTTTGTCAATACTTGTGGTCAAAAGAAATGCTCCTTTTTTTTTTGTAAAGAAGTTATGCTGTTTCACTAATAAGTAGTTAGGTTCCTGTTGAGTTGATCAACACATTCATTGTTTGGATATACACAGATGTATTTTCTTATTCTGGTTACTGTTAGTCCTGAGATTGCCAGAGAAAAACCAGTTATGCCTTTTGGGCCAAATTAAAGCAAGCTTTATTAAAATACTAAATACTGAACAAGATGGAATTTGGTCAGAGCCACTCCCTGGAAATATCCCAGCTCAATGACTCCAAGACATTTATTGTAGGGGCTTTTATGGACAAAACTCATAGGCTACCATACTTTCCCATGAGGCTTTGTTGTTGTTTTCCAACTACAAACAGGTTAGTTGTAAATTCTGATCAAGACACATTAAGAAAGGTTCTAAGTCATATTTAAAGAGTTCTATTGTTAAGATAGGTTTTGAGTTCTTTTCCATTACCATGTTTAATATGTTATGCTCCCTCTATGTTTATATGTGTGTATGTTGGGAGACTTAATATAAAAGAGACAACTTGAGTATGTTATTTTTCTCAATTCTTGCTCTCAAATTCAGATATTATGCTTGACTAAGTTGAAATGAAAATTTTGTGTGGGTAGAGGATGGGAAAGGGGCAAGGCAGGCTGCAGACTCTGTGAAACAACTTATCATTCTAGGAGGGACAAGAAGAGAAAGTCAAAGATTCACATGCATGTCATCCAGCTCCATCAGTACAGTTTCGGCTTAGCATATAGAGCGAGAGTGTAGAGTACCCATCATGTCCCACTTATGCAATGATTGCTCTGGGGCCCAGAGAATCAGAGAGTCACCTTTTGGCATTTGGGTCATCCCAAGTTAAAAAAAAATTACATCTCCCTAAAGGTGATTTGTACATAGTTTTGAGATCTATACACCATTTCCAAATTTAAAAAAAAAATAAAAAAAGTCAAGTCTACTGCAAAAATAGGGCATATTACTCTCCCTCCCTCTAATTTAGAGAATGGATGAAGAATTACAGTGGCTACATGGCTAGACCCCCCCCCCCCACTAGATGCCTAGTGGAAAATCCTTGTTTGCGCTCATCTCTTCTTGTTCCGGAACTCATCACATTTATTTCCGTGCATTGCTCTTTCTATCTGTGTTAGCTCTGCATTTAATTTAAATAGAAAATCAGTCCTGGGCCAATTCATTATTTAAATTGCAGTCCCCAAAGTCCCTTTGGATATAGAGGCATCTATATACATAGATATGTTTTATATATGTGTATGTGTGTGCATGTGCATTTGTGTGTGCGTGTGCAAGGCTGCAGTTAGGCAAAAGATGAAGAAGTTAAATGGCAAATTCCAGGCCTTGAGGATGAATGAACACAGCACATTACCCTTACACAAGCCCTTGACAAGTGTTCTATTGGAGACTGTTAACTTTATTCTTGGCTCACAGCCTTACTTCTATGTTCTATAAAAGAATTACCACAGATGAAGACTGTGAAGATAAAAATCTTCCAGTTTAAAAATATACTTCTATTTCTCTTGCAACTTGATGAACCATATAGAAAATAGTGGCTTTCTTTGTACCCCCTCTAGTGATTCATTTAACATCTGACCAAGTGTTAAAAGAAATTATACATAATCTAGGCCATGTCTCATAGAATAAATCATTTTCTTATTATCCAATAGTTAGCTTTTAAAAAGTCAAGTGAGTTCATGTTATTTCGTGGACTTTATCATCTAACTTTGGATACTGACCTCAAAAGATCAAAATTCTCAAGCTTCTCATCAATTACATTGACTTCTAATTGCGTTTTTCATTTATACACAGGTAAATATTTCTCTGTGAATTTATGTACCTGTACACCATTATAAGACCTAGAAGTCACACAATATAAAACGGAATAAACTGATTTACCTGCAGACATGGCTGCATTTTGCCCATTGAGTCCACTATAGGACAAGCACCCCCCATAAACATTAGCATGTTGGCAGAGGAAGCCAGGTTGAAAGCAAGCTGCTCTGCATGCTCCTTCTCCCCTCCCTGTTCTGCCCACGGCCCACACTGTACCTTCCGAAGAGGCTTGAGCTTGGTCTCCATTATGAAGTCATACTTGCAGAGCTCACAGCATCGAGTGTCCGAGCTCTTGATCCACTGGTGGAGACAGGACTGGTGGACAAAACGCAAGGTTCCCGTGCAGCGACAGGGTGTGATGAGTGGGCTCTCCTCATCTCCTTCGCAGTGACAGATTCTGGGGAGGGACGCAGCACAAAACATGAGTTCTCCCAGAAGACACTGCTCCCCCACGGAGCACTGCCTTGCCTGTCTCGGGTTGTATTAGAAACTGTAACCTACAATCTATAACTCATGGGCTTTTTACTCCAGCTTTGGTGGTAGAACCAAACCTGTGATTAATACCCATTTACTTTCACATAACTGTTAGACTCTAGCCATGTAAGAGGGTGTATGAGACATTTGTACACCAGAAACACATTCATTTCATTTGGACAGTAGAGCCATTTCAAGAACAAATTTTTGGGGCATTAGTCTATTTAAAAGGTCACTGTCTATGGTGTTTTATATATAAAGGTCATGGCTTAGAAGGATCCCAATGAAGCTGGCTGTGGTTCTCACACTTTAATCCCAGCACTAGGAAGGCAGAGGCAGGGGACCTCTTCAAGTTTGAGACTGGCCTGGTTTATAAAGTAAGTCCAGGACAGCCAGAAATATGCAATAAGACATTGGAAAGAGACATAGAGAGAGGGAGAGAGAGAGAGAGAGAGAGAGAGAGAGAGAGAGAGAGAGAGAGAGAGAGAGAAACTGAAGAAGACATAATGCAAAGAATGTTATAGTTTGATGATGTCACTGTTATTTTGATGACACAATTAAAGGGTCACATTGTATAATTTACAAGTTTGAGATATTACTACTATGAAAAATTTTGAAAACCTCTAAAGTGAAATAAAATTATAAGGCTGATATTGAAAGTTGGGTCTGAATGTATCATCAAGAAAATCTTTGGTTAGGTCACAATGAACTGTCTATAATTATCATCATATAAAACACCCCAAAATTCCTGCTCCCCTAAAATTCTAGTGTGGTAAATCCTGATTTTTGAAAATGCTAACATTTCTATCTATAAATTTAGAATTTATTAATTTCTGGATTAAAGGGAATCCTAATTACAGTCATTTAAGTTTACATTACTCTTATTTTTATATTTTAGAAAGTTTTCTCCTTGAATGAGACAGACCTTTTATTATGCTAAGAAGTGAATTAAAAACTTGGTCCTTGGCAGGAGAGATGGCTCACCAAAGAAAGCCTTTGCCCTCTAGGACTTCAGTTGGAAACCCCAGAACCCATGTAGAGCTGGGGGTGATAGTGAGCCTGTAACCCCAGCTAGGGCAAGATGGGAAAGCAGAGAAAGGGACATCCTAGGAAGTGTATGGGGCAGCTGTGGCCAACAGCTAAGGTGCCCTGTGTCAAACCAGGTAAAGGAGAGGACTGAGGTCTTCTGACACCCACATGTGTACTGCACACATGTGCCTGAACTCGCACACATGAATATGCATGCATACACATGTACCCGAATCATATACATAGAACAGAAAAAGTTCTTAGACCTTCAATAATTTTATAATCCACCCCACTGTTGAGAGCAGTTAATAAACTTCAATAGAAATGTTGGTATGTAGTTATTCAAAATACAAGCAGTGACTATAAATCTGTATAATGACCCAGTGGCAGGCTGGAAGAACACAAAAATCAGTGTCTTCTACTTCCTCAGAGGTGTGCACACTCATCTCCAGGAGCAGGAGTTCTGAGGAGAGGATTAAGAATCTACTTTTAAATTACACTGTCTCCCTGGAGAACTAGAGGAAGTGAGGCAGTTGTTCACATAGCTAGTGCAGGAGTTAGAGGAACTGAAACCCTATGATCTACCAACCTTAAAGAGAAAGACAGATGACAGAGTACATGCATCTTTTGTATTTATTTCTTAGGTAAAAACAAAGCCGTCGAGCACTAACTCCTGTACCTTGGGGTAGGCATTGTTTGGATGAGAACAAGTTCATGATCACCACCCCCCTTTTCCTAGCTGAGTTAGCTGGGATGTCTTATATAAAAAGCCAGCAAGGTGGAGGGAAATGAAAATTTTTCTGAGTGCCCATGTTTAATGTCTAGTCTAATAACGTCTCCTTTATCTAGACCTAGGCACAGAAGCCGGGCCTGCCATTCTTTGTCCCACACTGACGTCAACGCAGTGTCACAGCTTAGGGCTTCCTGGGTGTTGCATAGTTAACATGCCATCCTATAAAAATAGCCAGTGTTACTTGTATGTGTGTTCTCAGGGCTGACCATTTGATATTGGACAACCGATTGGTGTGCTTTTCTCTGCAAAGGACCACCTCTCCTGCTCCCAACTTCCATCACTTGCCTATAGTTGTGTGTGTGTGTGTGTGTGTGTGTGTGTGTGTGTGAGTGAGTGTATGTGTTTGTAGGACTGAGGCCTAATGTGCTTCTCTACATCCAGTTTGTTATGCCTATTGTCATCTTTGAACTTACCAGGTTGTATTTATATTTATGAATATACATGTTTATACAAATACACATATGCATGAAATAACAAAAGAGGGCATGTATTTGAAGGAGTGTGGGGAGGGGTCTATGGGAAGCTTTGGAGAGAGGAAAGGGAAAGGGAAAAATATAATTAAGTTACAATCTCAAAAAATAATCAGAACCAAAACCAAACAAACGAACATCCAGTGAAAGAAAACAAGATTTCCATTGTGCAGAATTTGATTATAATTTTATTTTTGTAGCCAGTATGATTTCTCTCACTGTTCTTGTTATCTCTTGTGAATCCTCCTCCCTATCCCTGGTTTCCCATCTCTTCCTCTCCCACTGGTCCACTGGTCCTTCTGGTCTTGTTTGTTCTCCTACAATACCTCTTCTGCTTTTCTGTCATTCATGTCCTTTAGTCCTCGTTCCCCCCTTTATCCTAATCATTCTTCAATCTCATGTCCCTTGTTTAGTTTTATGATGTACACTCTCTTCCATGTATAGAACATTCACATGTTTTCCATAAAGATTAAGATCTACAATCCATGTATCAGAGAAAGACTGTGATCATTGCCTTTCTGTTTTGCATTTTTGCTCAACAATATGTATTAGAACCATGCATTTCCTTGCAAATGATATGATTAATTTTCTTTATGGATGAAAAATTAACTGTGCATATGTACCATAATTTCTTTATCACTTTATCTGTTGATGGGCATTTGGACTGGTTGATTTCTTATTTACTATGAATAGAGCAGTAATAAACACAGATGCAGCTCTGTGGTATGATGTGGAGGAGTGGTAAAGCTGGGTCATGCAGTAGTCCCAAGTTTAGTTTTCTGAGCACTTTTCCTACTGATGTCCACAGTGAAGGTATTAGTTTAACTTTCATTAACAGTGAATGGAGTCTCCACCCCTACCAGTGTTGTTTGTACCCTTCATGTTGTTATTCTGACTGGGGTAAGAATCTATCAGTGCTGAGTATGAAAACCAGGTCCTTTGCAAAAGCAATGAGTACTCTTGCCGGGGATCCACTTCCTCAGCCCCCTAGAACAGTTCAGTGTAGATGTTTTGAGACAAAGACTGCAGTCCCCTACCTTAACATGTTCATGCATGGATTTTTGGTGTCAAGAACAGTGTACAGCAGCAATAACAAAGTATTCCCTATAGATGTGTCATCCTAATCTCTTTCTTCAAGTAACCAATGAATTTAGGGAAAGAGTAAAAATAGGAGTAAGAAAAAATCACAATGCAGATGAAATCTCATAGTGTGGCATTAAATCTCACCCTTTCTGTGGATCAAAGTTCTTACTTGAAAAAGAAAACGTAGGATTTAATGCCATTTGATAATTCCTCACGGAAAAGGAAAGATTGTCTCAAATGCTCTACAGCTGCCCAAAGACTCAGGCTCCAACTTTTTCTGCTACAAAAAAAGAATTTTATTCATAAGTAGCTTTAAACAAAGACCTCACTGATTACTGAGTCAACATGACCTTGCCAGCTTGCTGATTTTGGTCCAACTTCCTGTCTTAAAATGCCTCTCCTTTTAGAAAAATCAGTTAAAATCTTTCCCTGAAGAAAACCAGCAATATCCTTTTCTCATAAAATTAAAGTTATTCCCCACAGGGAAAAATCAAAAGCTTGATTCACTTTTTTTCCATTTTACACAATGAACATTTGCATGGTTTTAGTATTTTGAACTTTTTCTAAATTATCCAGTTCCAGTTGAACCCCAAGAGTCTTCTCAAGCCATGCTTAGATTGTTCTGAAAAAAAAATTTAAGATCAAAATATCAACTTCAAACCTCTAATAAAAATAAAAAATAAAGTAATAGTGCCATTAAAGAAATAATTAACCCATTTTAAAATTGATGTACTTCTCACAAATCATCATTGCTGCATTATAGCTGAAAACACGGCAAGGAGGACTTTTCCCTAGAGAATAATTGTGTAAAGAAAACTATGTCAATGCGATAATAAAATTCCATTGTAAAATGTTTGTACTGTGAGGTATTTTTATCTGGTGGGAGCTCGAATCCTGGGGAATCAGTGATTCTATGAGCTGTTCTTGACTCACATTATCTGACATTCAGAGAGAACAAGCAGAATTCAGAGGCTCGCTTGACACTTTCGTGTCGTTTTACAATCCAGTCAGTAAGTATTGAGATTCTTTTTATACACAAGACTTGAATTAATGAATACATCCTTATAACCTTATGTATTAAAAAGACACCAACACTATGGGACAAACTGCATTTTAGATTTTCCTGTGTACAACGTCCGCTTTCCTTCATTGCTTTAGGGTCTGATTTGAAAGGAAAGCAGCCAATATTTTTGGTTTTATTATCTTTAAAATATTAAAAATTGCCCTATGAATAGTATTATAATTACTATTATTATTAGCGTGTGTGTGTGGGAGGTTGTGTGTATGTGTGTGGGAGGGTCAACCTGCACCATGCCTTCCTGTGGAGGTTTTGGACAAGTTTGTGGGAGTTAGAATCTTCCTTCTACCATGTGGGACTGTGGAACTGAATTCAGGCTGCCGGTCTTGGCAGCAAGTACCTCTATCTGTTGAGCCATTTGGATGTCAGTCCTTAAATATCTTAAAATGATTTCAACCTTGCATCTACGCCCTTGCCAAGCCCTCTTGTCTCAGTCAGAACTTTTTTTTTTGATAAATTGCAAAAACATT